TGGCCGCCGCAGGCGAGACCAGGGCTGAGGGGGTGGTGTGGCCGCCGCAGGCGAGGCCTTGGCCGAGGAGGTGATGTGGCCGTTGCTGAGGCTTGCCCCCACCTGTCCCCACAGGCTAGAGTATGAAGCACGGAACCAGAAGAAAGAGGCCAAGGAGCTGGCTTTCCTGGAGGCTGCGAGGAGGCAGGAGGCGCGGCAGGTGGAGAGTGACTGTGATCTCTGACCCCAAGGGGGAGGTAGCCAGCTGCACACCCACTCTGCTTCCCATGACTTAGAGCCCCAAACGTCACTCTGCGAAGCCGAGGGGCTGCCTTGCTCACACACCCTGTCCCCAGGCCGTCTGGGGAGATGCTGCCCCCAGCCACCTGCTCGGCCCCTCCCTGCCGAACTTCGCACAGAGGGCCTGGAGGCCGCAGTGGGAGTCGGGCACCTTGGACCAGAGGTGCTGCTCCCGGTGCCGGGAAGGCCAGTGTCCACCCTCACTTGGCTCTGGCCCCCCAGAGGCTCCTGCAGAGCCGCTCAGAGCCTGGGACAGGCCTGTGCTTTGCTGCCTGGCCCCGCTGCGGCATGGGGGCAGGTGGCACTCCAGCATGGCGAGGGGCTCCAGGGGAGAGGGGTCTCCTCCCAGCAGGCCCTGCCATGCCCCAGGCTGGTGCCCCTCCAGGAGCCACCCCACTTCCTTGCCGCCTCACTACTCTGTACAGACTTTCTAGTCCTGGTTTTGTGCCTGACTCCCTGCTGGTGGGGTCTGTGCTGCAGCTGAATAAACCACATGGGAAGCTCCCTCTCCAGCTTCCGGCCTGCGGACGGGACCAGCCCTGGGGCCTAGGGGGCGTGCTCACAGCTGTTGACCCTGGGGAGGGCGAGGAACTGGTTCCCTCGGCTTGTCCACCCAGCGGCAAGCCCCACCAACTAAGGAGGAGGGCAAGCACCCCACTTCACATGGGAACCACAGGGTCTCCTCCAAGCTGGGCCCTGGGGAGCTGCCTGCCCAGTAGGGCTGGCTCTTGGGTTGTCTGGGGACACATCTCTGGGGATACACTGGTTTGTTTGGTTTTGTTGTGTTCAAGTGAGGGTGTTGTCAAAACTCTCCGCCCGCCCATCCCATGCAGAACAGCAGGTAGGGCACTAGGCAGCCTGGCCCCAGGGGCTCCTGGGGCAGCTAACTGTGGTTCCTGTGAGCTCTCTCTGAGGAAAGGGCTTGTCCTTTGCTTTCTCTTGATGGAGCAATTCCTGAGGGCTAACTGGTGCACAGGTGAGCTCAGGCAGGGCAGGACAGCCAGGCCGGGAGGGGCTGCATTGCTGTTCTGCCCCAGAGCCCACCCACCTTCCACCCAGGGGCTGTGAGCAGAGGGCTGGCAGGTCCAGCTCCCCACAGGCCCCTTGAGGCCCAGCCCACCAGGCACTCCACAGGCTGGGGACACCCCCAGGAGGCAGGACCTCTGGGACCAGGGCTCAGGCCCCCACACTTGGCCTTTCTGCCACCCATACCCTTGGACCCACCCTGCCAAGGTGGCACCAGGTGGGCAGAGGGAGGAGATGACGA